TTTCTCCTTCTGGACAGGAAGGCACAATTAAGTGGAATAGAATTCCTGGAAGACACTAAAGAGCTTAGGCTGAAAAGTAATTGAAAGCATGCATCTCCTTTACTGAGCATTACTTGTATTACTAAGCAAGATAAGAGTCTACTGAAAAGTCCTTGTCCAGGAGAATACACTCAGTTTGTCTTAATGTAGGTATACCATGCTTTTCCTTAGTTACAGTGTGTAATTAAGTGTAGTTGCAGTTTGTAATTAAGTAGGAAGTTATTTTGAATGCAGAAGAGATACATTCGTAAATTTAAGATTTTTTTTCAGGGCTGATGTGTTATATACTGAATATTTACAGCTTCCAAAGAGGCTAATGAGTTTCTTAGGTATACTTGGTTTTCTATTAATCATTCTTTTACCCCGAAAAGGCACTAAAACACTTCTCTGAAAAACATGTGAAGCTTCCTCCTTCATTTATCTAATGAATCTACGACTCACTTGGGCATTCTGACCATAAAAAGGGGTCCCTTCAAATCTTTCCCTCACGTGGCCTCCCGGAGTGATCTTGTGCAGCCAAAAGTAGTGCCATGGCAGTCCTACTACCCAGGCTTTAGAAGAAAGAAAGAGGTGTAGTAAATAACTGCTTAATTCCTAAACACTTYTAGAGCTCCTTTTTTGGCTCCTAGGCCCAAAAAAGTGCATCTGTGGAAGATTTACTTTATTTATTACCTCTTCCTCAGCCTTATTGGAAGGCTGACCTCCTTGAGCAATAAATTAATGTAAGACACTCAAGCAAAATTGAAGGTTTGGCATAGAGAGGTTGTTGCTGTTCCCCCTCTGTGGTTCCCAGACACAGTTTAGGAGCCCCTTGGCACTGTTTCTGGGATTGGGGAGAGTTTGGTGCTGCAGACCAGGCTCATCCTCTGGCTCCAGCACCACTTGGRCCTTGTCTGGATAGCTGGAGCCTTAGGCTCTGCACATTAACAGCAGCAGTTTTGCAGTTGAGGTTGGCATGGGGCTGGATGTCCCCACGCCCTGAGCCCTTGCTCTTGTACCACAACCCCCCGCAGGAAACAAAGCCCTCAGGTGTGAAAACCAGGCCTGCTTTCAGTGGAAGATTCTTACTGTAGCTGCTCTCTTCTATTTTTAAATAGATTCTTGGTAACTTCAACACTGGTGTTTTCTGACTTTCATTCTGACTTTCTTTCTGTCTCTTTCCCTCCGTTTCAGGCTTTTTATTGACCTTAGATATCTGATACTATTTGGGGCCTAAAAATGTACGTTTTCCTAGCCAGTGATTGCATCGAATATTTGAATTTTGAATTTCAGTTGGCCTTTCTAATACTACTTAATAAAGTATCCAATTTTTTTTAGTTTTGTAGTTAGACTATCAAACTAATCTGAAATATGACACTAAAATTTTCAGTCATAAAACCAAGCAAATTTAAATAGTTTGTTGTTTTGTTGATAACAATTAAGAATTATTATAATGTTATTGTTCTTTTTAAGCAGCATCTCTTGTTCCTCCTACTTTAAAAACCATAATAAAAATTGTGTAGATCCTGGTCTTGAAATTGTTAGCAGTTAGCAGTTGTTAGCAGGAACTCATGCTATTTTCATGAAGCTCAAAAGTATCTGTTGCTTTGTGGTTTTACAAAGTGTAGGTGCTACATACAAACCCCTTTTGTTATTTCTAGTCTGTCAAATATKCCCTGCAACCTACAGAATGTCCTTTTATCTGCAAAAAGCTGAAAACTTTGATAATCTTGCTCTCTTCCCTTGCACATCCAGTGCAAGAAATAATTGCAATAAGTAGTTGGGATAGACATCTACCAGAAGCTGTGTTCGCAATACATGAAGACACAGAGCTGAATCCAATTTCTAATTGTCAGAAGAGACTGCATTCACCTACATCTTTTAAAAGGACATGGCGGTCAGGGATTTAATTTATTTTGTTTATAGCAGAAACGTTCTAGTTGAATGTAACTGTTAATTTTATTTATAATCGGGCAAAAATTCAATCAGGTTCCTTTTTTGTTCACTGGTTATCTCTGATAATCAGGGAAAAACAGGTTTACATGTGCCCTGTATATTCTTAGCTCCTTTTCTAATAAGGATATATAGAAGTTATGGGTTTTTTGTTGATTTGTCAACTGCTTTATTGCAATATTGGTTCAGCTGGACAGAATTTTTGGAAAAGAAAAGGCAATACACAAGCAATGCGTAAATACATGCACCTTCTGAAAGAACTATTTTTTTTTTCTCAATGGGAGGTAAAACTGCACATTTTCTTTTCCATCTGCTTCCATAGAAAAATGAATTGTGTTCCTAAAAAAAAAAAAAAAACCTTGAAGTGTAGGATATTGTGTAACAAGAAACACTGCTAGTGATTCAAATGACTTAAATGTTTAAAGCTAACAGAATACAAGTTTAAAATCCACAAGATTTTATGTAGTGATAAACAAAATCTTATCTTATTAGCTAGTAACTTAGCTTGTGATTATTGCCAGTTTTGCCTATCTTCAAGATTGAAGTTTTAGGAATACGTCTTAATTTAGAATAATTTCAGAAGGCTGAAATGAAACTTAAATATATACAAAATTGCTATCAGTAAGGAATGTCTTTTAAACCCAAATATTCTCTACTCTCCTTCCTTCAATAACTCTATGGAGCAGAGCTGAACTTCACTGTCATGAAACAGAACTGAAGCAGAGATCTTCCCTTCATATGACTCGACAGCACGTAAAGAGCTGAATGATTGCCTGTGTCCTTGCTTTGGAACCATGAATAATTAAACATAGGTAATTAAAATCTTACTAACCAATGAGGTCTGCATTCCTATCATGGAGATCATGTCTCCTCAGTTTATTTCCTGTGTCTGGTCTTTATCACACACTCCTATGTATCCATCCTCAAAGTATCTAAATGTGTGGATAAATACCTACCAGATATTTTTACTATATCAACATGCAGAACCTAACCTAAGTCTCATAGCTGCCATCTTTGTGAAAGCATTTACTCAAATAATGACCTTTGGTGACTCAATGATCCTAATCCTAATTTAATCCTAAATATAATCCTAATTTATTTGCTTATAAAAGTTACCTGTGTCTTCACAGACAAGTATATCCAAGAAACAGGGTGTGGTTTTTTCTCCTATTTGATATCTGTTCAGCTTGCCTGTTGATAATGGGCAGCATATGCTATTAGTTGAGCAGCTGCATTGGACCAGACTGCTGCACTCCAGGCTGAGGGAGCTGCTGGAGGGASGCAGAAACTCTCCTCCATTAGAGCTAATGAGCGCTCTGGGCTGCCCAGAAGGTTTTGGGCTTCACAAAATCTTCCTGATGCTGAATGTGAAGAACAACACAGACTCCTGAATTAGCTCAGAGTGCAACCGGCCACATTTCCATGGCTCAGGTTGTCATTTAGGCTGTCCGGTTTCTTATCTTCAGAGATCTGCTAGCATACCCTGGTGCCAGTTATCAAACCAAAGGATGAGACAGGGCAATACTGAAGAATCTGAATCTCTGAAAACCCTTTTGAGAGAACGTGGTTGTCAAAAGTCTAGATGAACTAAAATCTTTCCCCGCTGAGGTGACAGCAGCTGCTATGTTAATATTGGAACAGCAGCATTCTGCTATTGTGAAACTTYGAAAAGCTCAAAATGTTTCCTCTTCAAAAGTGATTTCTACCAAATTTTTGTTCTAAGACTGTGTATTGGATGATTTGTCCAGGAGGCCCTTTACCTCTGCTATGACAGAGGACTATGACTATGACTCACTGTTTGTTTTTTGGTCTTGGGTATCTCACCTATCAGATCTTTCCAAAAAGAGATTTCCAGAATTGAAGAATAATAGCTGAATAAAAATTCTCTTTTCTTCCAATTTAGGATAATTTAGCAGAATTTCAGAGCTATCCTGAAGCTGGAATTTGCTGAATGGTAGACCTATTTTTCTTTTTTAGTGCCTTGCACATTAATTTCTTCATATTTTAAAGTATCTTTCACAATTTAAAAGTTTTGCATAAATGGAAAATAAATTTCAAGGGCTAATGCAAGCTTCTCCTTGCTTATAAAGTCAATGGCACTAGAATTCAAAATGTCCCTGATCTTTCAGTATCATTTCTAATTTGTTTCTGTAAATTAAGAAAGACATCAGCTGCCCCAGGAAAATGTTTCTCAGATCATTAGATGTAGTTGCTTTAGCACCTGCAAAATGTGCTATTCCCAGCATAAAAAGCAAATGAGGTACAAAMAAGGAATATTTAATTCATTTGCATAGCTGTTTATTATATATTAAAAATSTTTCACTTAATATTCTTGGTATCTGAAGCACCTGTACATACCTAAAGATTCACAAAGCATCTTTGCAAAAGACTTACTCAAATGCGCAAATGCGAGACTCTTCCCTGCTCTGTCGTACAGTGAGTCAGAAATTTATCAGCCAAAGAATGGCTAAAATAGCAAGAATTGCTTGGAAGTAAATAGTGATAGAAACATAGCAAATAAAAAGTAGTGATTCTTTCTGAGGAGCTTTTTTTTTTTTTTTTTACCATTTTTACATTAAACTTTTATAGGAGAAACTCTATTTTTGCCCACTTTGGATGTTTGTTGACAATAATCTGCAATTTTATTGTTTTTATTATATAGTCAGTTGCCATTTTTGGGGGGATTCTTTTTCATAAATCAGCAGGGCAAAACAAATATAACACTACACTTTTGTACTATTTTAGGTGACAAAGTGACTGAGGCAAGAGCTAGAAAAAAATACTCTTTTTTTAAGTCTTACTTTCTTAAYGGCAAGAGGTTTGCATCCTCTAGGAACCAAAAGGAGGAAAAAATCTGCCACTGAAGTGGTTCATAAGGGTTAGTATTTTTCCATCAGTTTTACTTAGAAATCTGTTAATATGTAGTTTGATATGTAGTTTGACATCATGGATTTTACCCAGTATGGTGTTAAAAGCTTCTCAAGACAAAATAACTAGCATGTAACATGCATTTTTTTTTCTTATAACAGCAACTGATCTTAAGAAACTGAAGGCTATAAAATTCAACAGAAAGATCAAACTTTGGGAGACGTTGAACATGATCCCAGCAGGGGAGCCATTACTGTATGAGCAAATTCCATATGGAGGACACCAGGAACTGAGGTCAAAGTGTAATCACACAGAACACAGATCACTGGGGTAAATTGTTTTATTCTACCTCTGAACTTAAATATCTCTTAAGAGTAATAAATCCTCTTATCTGATGCTGAGACTTTTTTGCAATAGTATATCAGGAAAAAGATCTTTAACAGTCTACATACTTTCTTTATATGATTCGTCCTTTGATGCTTCTTCCTGAAGAGCCTGGCATAATTTTATTTTCAGTTTGAGACAAATCTGTCAAATAAAAATTTTGGAAGTTGATATATACTGAACTAAGGTTTGAAATCCAATTGAAACTATGATCTCGAAGGGAAGGGCTGTGGAGCGGACGCTCGTGCCGGAGCTCCTTGTCTAGAGACGAGCCACTGCGGCCCAAAGCCGCCGAGCGAGAGAGCGCAGGCAGCGAGCAGCGCGAGGCAGCCCCGGCGCCGACCCCTGAGCGCGCAGCGCGGAGCCCCGGGCCCGAGGCGGCTCTGACCCAGCGGGGGCGGAGCCGGCAGCACAGGCGGGAACTCAAAGGCCGCCCCCAGGGAGCGCGAGCGACCAGGAGCGCGGCGCGGCAGTAGGGCSKSGCGGGGCAGTTTGCGCGGCAGTTCACGCAGGCAGGGCGAGCAGGACGGGTGAGCAGGGAGGTCCCTCCCCGGCGAGCAAAAGAATCCTGCCCACAGTCTCTTCCGTCAGCAGAAAGGCAGGGGAAACCATGGTGTCTGCTCGCCAGAAAACTCGCGCCAGGAAGACTGTGGCAACCCAGACTGAACTGCCACAGAAGCATGCAGTGGTGCAGGTCACTACCTGCRAGGAGTGCCTGAGCTTTTCTTTGGTGCCAGGGAGTGGGGAAAACACTGCCTGCCTTAGGTGTGAGCAGGTGGAGTCCCTGCTCAGCCTGGTGGTAGAGCTGAAGGAGGAAGTAGAAAGGCTCAGGGCTATCAGGGATTGTGAGAGAGAAATAGACTGGTGGAGCTGCGTTCTGCAGTCCTCCCAGGGTATGTGCCCAGAAAACCTCCCAGTTCAACCTGAAAAAACAGCACCCTCT